GGTCCTAAGCCATGGAGCACTCTGAAGGTGATAACCAAAACCTTGAAGCGCACTCGGAAGACCACCGGGAGCCAGTGCAGCTCGCGCAGGAGAGGCGTTACATGGGAGCGCCACGTCGCTCCCATCACCACCCGCGCGGCCGCACTCTGCACCAGTTGGAGCCTCCAAGTGCTCCTCAAGGGGAGCCCCATGTAGAGAGCATTACAATAGTCCAGACGGGAGGTGACGAGGGCATGAGTGACCATGCGTAACGAGTCCCGATCCAGAAAGGGACGCAACTGGCGAATCAGGCGAACCTGATGAAAAATCCTCCCGGTCACGGCCGTCAAATGCTCTTCTAAAGACAGCCGTGAATCCAGGAGGACGCCCAAGTTGCGAGCCCTATCTGTGGGGGCCAATGCTTCGCCCCCAATAGTCAGCGATGGCACCAGCTGACTATATCGGGACGTCGGAAACCACAGCCACTTGGTCTTGGATGGGTTGAGCCTGAGCCTGTTTCTCCCCATCCAGATCCGTACGGCCTCCAGGCACCGGGACATCACTTCAAGGGCATCGTTGGGGTGGTCTGGGGTGGAGATGTACAGCTGGGTGTCATCAGCGTACTGATGGTACTCCACCCCGAAACCACAGATTATCTCGCCCAGCGGCTTCACATAAATGTTGAACAAAAGGGGCGAGAGGACGGATCCTTGTGGCACCCCACATATAAGGGGCCTCGGGGTCGACCTCTGCCCCCCTGTCAACACAGACTGCGACCGATCGGAGAGAAAGGAGGAGAACCACCGTAATATGGTGCCTCACACCCCCAACTCTTCCAACCGGTGCAGCATGATACCATGGTCGATGGTATCAAAAGCCGCTGAGAGATCTAATAGGACCAGGACAGAGGAACAACCTCTGTCCCGAGCCCTCCAGAGATCATCCACCAACACGACTAATGCCATTTCCGTGCTGTACCCAGGCCTGAAACCCGACTGGAACGGATCTAGATACGTCATTTCATCCAGGTACTGGGGAAACTGTCGTGCAACCACAGTCTCAACAACCTTCGCCACAAAGCGAAGGTTGGAGACTGGACGATAGTTAGCCAATATTGCCGGGTCCAGGGAAGGCTTCTTGAGGAGAGGTCTCACCACCGCCTCTTTCAAGGCAGCGGGAAAGACACCCTCGCCCAATGAAGCATTTATAATCCCCTGGAGCCAGCCTCGCATCACCTCCTGGGAAGCCAGCACTAACCAGGAGGGGCACGGGTCCAACAAACATGTGGTCGCATTCAGTCTACCCAGAATCCTGTCCACGTCCTCAGGGGTCACAGAATCAAACTCATCCCAGATAACATTCTCAGGACCTGCCTCCGTCATCCCCGCTAGATCTACCCAGTTGGAGTCCAGATCTTCCCAAATCTGAGTGATTTTGTCATACAGATACTGAACAAAATCCTCGGCTCTTCCCTCCAAGGGGTCCTCCCTCGCTTCCTGATGGAGCAGGGAGCGGGTCACCCTAAACAGGGCGGCCGGGCGGTTATCTGATGACGCAATAAGAGCAGCAAGATAAGTGCATTTCGCTGCTTTTATCACCACTAGGTAATTCTTAATATGAGATCTTACCAGTGTCCGGTCAGATTCAGTACGACTGGCCCTCCAACTACTCTCTAGGCGTCTTTTCCGGTGCTTCATCTCCCTCAGCTCCTCAGTAAACCAAGGAGCCAGGTGAGATCGGCGCTGGGTCAGAGGCCGCAAAGGCACGACTCAATCCAGAGCTCCAGCAGCCGCCCTATCCCAGGCGGCCACTAGGTCTCCAGTCGAGGCGTGAGCCAGAACCTCAGGGATTGGCCCAAGCTCCATCTGGAACCTATCAGGTTCCATCAGGCGCCTTGGGCGGTACTATCTTATCGGTTCCGCCTCCCTGCGGCGGGGTGCAGCGGTTCGAAGGTCAAGGCAAAGGAGAGAGTGATCCGACCATGACAAGGGCTCGATGACTATGTCCCCTATCTCAAGATCACTCAGCCACTGTCCAGAGACAAAAATCAAGTCCAGTGTGTTTCCCCCCATGTGCGTAGGGCCATGAATTAGCTGGGTCAGATCCATAGCCGTCATGGAAGCCATGAACTCCCGAGCCACCTCAGACGTCTCACCCACGGACGGCAGGTTGAAATATTCAAAGGGAAAGCTCACATTAAAATCTGACTTTTAAAAAAATAATACTGCAGAATGTCAGAGGTTCCTGCTCATGTTTTCCCCATGAGATGGCATGCTTCTGCTGGTTACTTATCATGACTGATTGTCTTTTATTACTACTAGACTCAGAACTTCTATAACAGCATCTCCAACCTTTACAGCTATGCAGATCGGGATGATGGTGGTGGTGGTTCTATGCATGGAGTGGGCAAGTGCACACACACAGCTTCATTTGTGCAAGTGGCAGGTATGCATGCCTGCCACTTACACAAATAGAAGTGCATGTATACACTTGCCCACCTGTTGTGTGTGCAAGTGGAGTTGCGTGCATGCACATACTTGTCCGCTACGTGCGCGGCCTGATTTTGAATGGGCTGCGGCCCAGTAGTGGGCCACTGCCCGAGGCTCGGGGACCCCTATTCTATAACAAACGAGACACTATCCAAACCATTCTCATGTTCCTACTTCTCCCAGATATTGGGGTTTTCTCAAGCTGAGACTGCAGACAGAAATATTTGTTTTTGTCCCACTTGAGGTTAGTTTATTATGTAAAATCAAAGGGCTTTCAAGTTTCCTACTTCTTACTTGTAATCTAAATACTAACTCATATGTTTGTGTCTCTTTCCTACTTTTTTCCTGCAGCCATCTTCATTTAGGGTTTCCCTGTAATTACAAATTTTGTACAACTACTATCTTATTTCACTCATATACTGTATTTCTACCCCTACATTCTATGTCAACATTCTCATATCGCTATTGTTGTTAGCTGCATCTTTTCCTGTATTTTTAGAGCTCTGAATCATTCTTACTTCCTCATGTCCTAAGCTCTTGCTGCCAAACACAGTTCATTTACATTTGGAAACCTATTCCACTCCCTCTCTAAGGACTTGCAGCATCTGAGCTTTTCCTGCCCACTCTTCCATCCCACTCACCCCCGGAGTCCTCCCAGTCCTTTCTTCCTGGAGCTGGCTTGTAGACCTCTGTGCTGTTGCACTCAAGAGTGGATGCTCCGGGTCCATTTTTGCAGATTTTAGTAGGGCTCTTCCCTGTAGGTCTGGCCACTGGGCAGCTGTTCCAAGGAATGCCATTCCTTGTCTTATCCTGGGACCCCAGCAGTATTAAAACTCCAGATCTTGGGAGGGAAGAAAAGGGCTTGCATATTTGAGGCATCCTTTCACACCTGGCTGCCTTTTAGTGGCTGCTATTTCCATATGCAACGAAGTTCCCTGCATTCCAGTCTAACAGTGTTATTAGCAGAAATCTCAGAGCTGAAGAATATTTGCACATGTCTTCCTTCCCATTCTGTTCTCCTTTGACTTGTAATTTGCATTGCCTCTTGTTCTATGGCTGCCATCTCTAAATTGTGATTTAGGGTACTTGAAAAAAAGGGTGGAATAGAAACTTACTTCTGTTTTAAGTATCAATTCTTCACCTCATGTTGTAAATGAATTTCAGAGCAGAGGGCAAATTTATACCAGGCTTTTCAGTGCCATAAAATGAGTAATAATGATGAGAATGTTTATAGAATGCCTCTATTTCAATTCTATTTGCAATTAAAATGTGACTGAATTGTCTGAAGTTCTCATCCTCTCCACTACCCCAGAACTAAATAACAAAGGCAAAAACCAAAAACCGTAACCACACACTGCCAAGGTTCAACCATTTTGTTGATGAATTTTCTGCTCAAGATCTTGGAGAGCTTTGGAGACTGGGTGTAGCCCATGGTCCACAGGTTTCCCACTGTTATACTTTGTTAAATTAAAGGTGTGTGGGTTTTCACAGTCAGCCAATCAGTCACTTTGTTTCAGTCTTTCACCAGCAAAGGGTTGAGGTGGTTTGGAGGTAATTGACGGCTTAGGAAAGGAGAAGAACAAAATAAATGAAAAAGAAAAAAGAAAAAAAATACACTATCTGTTTACATTGTAAGATTAGGACCCACAGTGAGTTAATTTCTAAAATAATTGGTGTGTGTTTTCTAGAAAGCCAGGCTCATTCTCTGAATTAATATGGTTATGGAGAATTGCAGGAAAAGTAAAAAGGTGGCGGTGAAAAAACAGAATGAACCATCAAGGAATTTTTTTTAAAAAAACTGTATTCCTACAAAATTGTGATGATCTGCAGGTTGTTGGTTCTTAGAAAAAGCAACCTGAAATAACAGCCTGACTACTTACATCTCCCACATTGCTGTGATGTAATTGGCTCGGGCTATGTCCTTATTATATTAATGCAAATGAGAAAATACCCTCTTTCAAACTTTGCCTCCTTCCTTTAGAATGTAATGGTGTATCACACTAGGATATGTAAAAAGTACAATAAGTATTGAACTGCAGCAATCTTTATCAGTAAAGTGAGAGTTATATTTGGAAGGGAGGAGGGAAGGGAAGGGAAGGGAGGGGAGGGAGGGAAGGTAAGTAGGAAGGAAGGAAGGAAGGAAGGAAGGAAGGAAGGAAGGAAAGAAAGAAGGAATCCAAAGTAGGCTTTGTACTTGAGAAAATACGGGGCTCCTGATGCTTTCATTTCTGGGAATAACAAAACAGGAGTTGGTCCATTCATTAATGCTAAATTCATAAATTCATTCTTTTTTTTGCTAATGAGCCTCAGTTACCGAGGCCACATGTAGAGGGATGAAACCTGATGGCTCTGTGAGATTGTTAGCAAACAACAAACCAGAGTTATTTAGAAAATTGGCTTACTTTTTTGTGCCAGTCAAGCTACACTGTAGAGGGCTTAAGTTTCAGAACCAAGAATATCTTTATTTCTTAGAATTTTAGTTATATTATCTGCATAGTCTGAATAACTGCTATTTCCTCTTTTTCACTCTAGAAATTACTTGTTCAGGCTGCATAGTGAGGATCTTTCTCTAATCCAGGTAAGTTTACCTGTATGGAAATTTTAAAAAGTACAATTTTCATCTTTTTAACTTCATCTTTATTTATAAAGTCAATTAAAATCTCAGCATATTATTTGACTTCTGATGTAGATCAGGAGTGGGCAACTATGACTACTTTAATGACCTGTGGACTTCAACTCCCAGAATTCCTGAGCCAGCCATGGTTCAGTTCAGAAATAAAGAACTTGAAATTCTGTTCCTGTTTCTTCTTAGTTTGAGTCCTTTCCACGTAAATCAATTTTTATTTTATGATAGAGGCGAAATTTGCTGAAATCCAAATTTTTTTATTACCGGTTCTGTGGGCGTGGCTTGGTGGGCGTGGCAGGGAAAGGATACTGCAAAATCTCCATTCCCACCCCACTCCTGGGGGAAGGATATTGCAAAAACTCTATTTCCCCCCGCCCCACTCTGGGGCCAGCCAAGGGTGGTATTTGCCGGTTCTCTGAACTGCTCAAAATTTCCACTACCAGTTCTCCAGAACCTGTAAGAACCTGCTGGATTTCACCCTTGGATAGAGGGGCTATTTTATGATAGAGAGGCTAAAGCAACAGTCATATATAGCATGGAACTGGTATAGCTCAGAAAGCATAAAGGTAGTAAGAACAGATTCAATTTCCCTTCTAGCTTCATTCTGTTCTATTGATAAATAAAAAAAAAATGCATCCATTTGAGTCATTTCCTTGCCAGGTAACGAGGAAGCAGGCATACATTTTTTGTAATCCCGCTCCAGAATTTGAGAATTGACACAGATTCCCTTCCTCATCATCACCACAATTCCAAATGATCCAGAATGAATTGGGCCATTTCTGGAAGCCTTGATTTGACCCTTGAAGTGCATTGTGTAGCCTTTATACAGCCCCAATGATAATTTAAATGAAACCATCTTGGAAAGGCTGTGACTAGGCAAGAGAAGCAGTGCACCACTTTGTCTGCTCTCCAAGAGTACAGTGTTAATGCATAATTTCAAGGTCTCTGCTCTCTTTTCTTCTATCTCATTATGTTTACTTTAGATTCAGATGGGCAACCCCTCAAATAGAATAGAGATGGGTATCTTCTTTTCCACATAAACCCAGCAATTTATCCATTCATTCCTCTTTTGAACTGTGGGAGGCTGATGTTATGTTGAATATAATGGAGTAAGTGAATTGAGAGTGATTGATCTGTGCTCACTTGCTTACTCCATAAAATGCCAAACTAGACTATGGGCTTGTCTTAGTTTGCTAATGGCCTGGACTTCAGACAACAGGACAGTTACTCTGATAGAACCGAGGTTTCAGCATCTCCAATATTGTGATTAGACAATTTTCTGTTAAATTTAGTATTAGAGCTATTTTCCTCTGCAGGACTGGGGGAGTGATATACATGAAAATGACAGAGTCTCAGTTGCACTATTGTGGCCACACTGCTCTTTTTTTTTTTCCTACAGCCTTGTAATGTTCATTTGATAGCTCACTTCATGAATGCTTTGAATGGTTGTGTACAGCTCTCCTGCAAGAGATGTTATAGAAAAGTTTGGATTTGCCAGTATGGGAAATCAATTTTAACAGAGCCAGGCTACTGCCAGTGTAAATGTCAAGTGCCAGGGAAATCAGGAGATTCAGGCAGTTCAAATGAGTATCAAGATTTATGGCAAGCTTATTCTCTCCACAAGAATTTGAACTACTAATGTCAAGGGAAATTAATGGGAATTATGAATAGAAAGGAATTCAAGTTGGGCTGGACTTAGCTCTCTTGTGGGTGTGTATGGACTCATGACTGATGATGTGTTTGACCCCTCCCTTGGGCTCAGGCTGTTCATCTTCCAGAATAAGTTCCACCATGAATTCTCTTGCCATTCCTACTTTTCCTCTTTAAATCTACCTCCAAATGTACTGTAGTTATTTTGTGTAGAGTTATTATCAACTCTACACAAACTCCACCCAAACTATTGTAATCATGGCAGCAAACTGTAAGTGTTTTATAAGAGTCTGCACTTTGTATTTTCATTGTAGAAATTGGATATAACTTGTACAGACAAAATCTACCTCTGGATTTAATGTGTCATTGAATTATGTTTACCTTCAGTCATTAAAGATGCCTTTGTATGTACATGCAACACCTGCTTACATATACATCCAAGGACAAAACCAATGAATAAGACCCTTCATTATAAAGAAAGTTTTGTGTATGGGCCTGCTTTTGTTTGCATTGCAAAGGTAGCTGCCATTGTTATAGGATGAATGAGTGGAATTCTGATGTGCCCTGCATCAATAGAATAAGTTAGTCACTGTTAGCTTAAAACCTATTGATTTTAACAGAACTCAAACATAACATTCTGGGTTGTGGCAAGTATGTCCAAAGCAGCTGTCTGTGTTTAAATTCCCATGTTGAAAAAAAAGAGGGGGGTGGAGTCTTCCCTTGTGTACAATATTTATGAAACAAATGCTTAGGACTATATTTTATAAAACAAATGTTTTCATTGCATATTTTTCAGAATTCCTTATGCTCTATAAATATTTGATGGTATAAACTCAACTGAAGTTTGGTCTAGTAGTGAAGGCACCAGGCTGGAAACTGAGAGGCCGTGAATTCTACTCCTGCTTTAGACAGAAAAGTAGGCTAGGTGGCTTTGGGCCAGACAGACTCTCCCAGCCCAGCCTGCTTCAGTGGGTTGTTTTTATGGAGAAAATATGTGTATTGTGTATGTTTGCTGCCTTGAGTTATTTTTTTAAAAAAATTAAGATGGGAGAAACATAAATACATAAATAAAATATTAATTCTAAGTGGAAATGCATAAAATTGCATTATAAATATGTACATGTTTATGAAAACAATGATTCAATCATGGCTACCTGCAACATGGACATTTCTGGTGCATTTCCTATGACCAACTCTGATGGACACTGTGGCAAACACCATTTTCACTTCAAGAACAGAGTGTGTGTGAATATGTGAAAGATAAGAGGTAATTGGACTACCCCCTAAATCATATTACATGATTTGGTAGTTAAAAACTGGATGTTTTAATTTTTAAGTCAGAATTTCAAATTTCAAATGTAATATTTATTAAAAATTACACTGCACACCTCCGCCCCCAGGCATGTGCGCGTGACCCCCTGCCCCTGCGCATGCGTGCACAGCCCCCCAGCCATGCGTGCAGTCTCCTGCATGCCCCCCCGCGCATGCGCGGCAGAGACCCAAAAATCAGCTGGCTGGCGGGAGGTGCGCATGCATGCGGGGTGGAGCTAAGCCGGGCGATGGCTCGAGTGCCCGCAGAGAGGGCTTTGCATGCCACAGGTTTGCCATCACAGCATTAGTTTAATAGACTGCTTCATATGTTGCCTTTTGTTCGTTAAACTTCATTTCTCTCTTTTTCAGGATCTCATTACCTCCGCTCAACTATGTCTTTCTAAATCTTCTGCTTCCTTTGAAGCCATTCAATCTTCTTTCATATATTTATTTTGTGATTCAATCCTTGTTCATGCTCTCTGTGTGACAAACCACTTCAACATATCTACTTTGTATTTGCCACTTGTATTTGCCATCTGTATTCTTGTTTTATGTACTTTTTATGTAACCAATTCCCACTTCTGCACATTCAAGCTTTGCTTTTTTCCTGATAGGGTGTATATACCCAATGCTCACTCCTGTAAAGCAAAATGGGCAAAAATATTGCCATTTCAATTTATTCAATAGATTTCTGGCAATAAATTGTGGGCTATCCGCTAACCTTTTACCAGAATTTCCTATTAAAATCTAAAAAAAATATTTACAATTCTGTTCACTCTGTTGAATCCTGTTTGTTTTTCCTCTCTTTTAATTTCCAGAAGACTTTAATTTCCATCAAGATCACTCTGCATTTTCTTTGCCTCTTTTTCTATTTTCCATACTTTTTCTTGCTTCCCTTAATTATATTCTTTCCATTATCTTTTTTTCTCTTTTCCCCATAATAATTTTTGCAGCTGTCACTCGCTAATGTGTCTTTTTCTCATCCACAGTCACTTTTATGTCATCATTCCACTGAAGATTCTTTTTCATGCTTTCCATTAGCACATTTCACACACTTCCGTCACATTGTGTAACTTAATTTGTTTTGCTTCTACATCCTTTTTCAATATTAGAAAAATGTGATTCATAAATTAAAATAAGATAGAATGACTTTCTACTCATTCTGTTGGGAAGTAGTTCTATCTTCAAATTTATTTTTCACAAAACTCATACCTTATTTGGTTGTCATTCTATCTTTTCTTTATTATCACTTCTTTTCCTTTTCTTTCATATCTATTTTTCAAAAAAAAATTCTCTTAGCACCCTGAAATAATAGTCTCACATTCAGAAGCTCTCATGAGCCTTATATCCTTCACTAATTCTCCAATCCCTCATGCTTTTTAATTCATTATTTGGTTGTGTGAATATGTGACTAGATTTATGCTTTGATGCTTGAAACATACTTTGTTTAAGTGGATGGTTACTGAACAGTTACCATTAGTGTTCATTTTTACTCCTCTGAAAGGCCCAATCACTTTTTCTGTGTTATGATTTTGTTTCACTTATCAGTCCATGTCACCTAGCAAATTAATGTTTGCCTGGATTCCATTCATTCAGAATATTATTGTTTTTCTTCAGCCCATCCCTGGTTCTTCCACTGTTACTGTTCACTGGAGAATAACATGCAGTCAACACCCGCATCAGTCTAAATAACATTAATTCATATTTTCTAACATACATTTTATCTGTTTCATTCATCATTAAATTGATACATTTCCTTCCATTGCATTCAAGCTTACCCTAGAAAATCATATCACTTTCATTCAGTTATATTGCAGCCTTTAATTTTGCAGTTTTTTATTTTTTATTTTATGCACCATACTTATTTTTCTTTCTTTTCTTTCATTGTTTTTAATTATGTGCTTTTGCATTTTATTTCTTTCGCATTCTAAATCACAATCTCCTTTTTTATATGCTATGACTTACACCTGATGCAGTCATAGATATTTACT